TAGCTGAGAGGGGAGAAACGGGAGAGCAGGGCTGCTTCATTAAAGAAGGCGATCCACAAGCGGAGAAGGGCAAGACTCATGCTCTCAGTGAGAGCATTCCAGTCGAACTGGTTCACCAAATCGGACTGAATCGTTCAAAACAGTTCGCATCTCGAGTCAGCACTGATCCACAATTTTCTAAAGTTTCTCACTTTCAGACATACCTTACAGTCCCTACGACTCTAAATAAACCAATATCCCAGAGTATATGTTACTGCTGTAACTCCAATAGCACTGAAACATGCTGTGCAGACTGAGAGAACTGATGAGCATGAGCATGAGCATGAGCATGAGCATGCGTGTACTACCGAACGAACTGCTACAGCGGTTCTCGAGTCAACAGTTCTCGAATCACCACTACACTGAACCGAGAACCGTTTCTTTCAGACACGTTTGACATACTGAGAACCGATGAGCTGGAGATACTGAGCATGCGTGAAGCTAAAACTGATGCTGTGCTGATATTAATATACTATGAGTGTGAGTGAACCGAGGACTTGAATGAGGGGGTGAATTTGACGAAATTTTTTATTTATTTATTTATTTATTAAGTTTATTTAATAACAGATCAAACTTACAGGAAAGTGCAAATGCAACTAGTTATATTAAACAACATTTTAACATGATGAACATGCAACAACTGATCAGTCAAAACATGTAAATGAATATTACTATTTACTATTGTGTATGCACGTTATATTTTAAGCTTTATGAACTGGATTTCTGTACAGTTAAGGTTCTGTTACGGTTTCTGTAAAAAGTTGATGAAGACTTCACTTCCTTTATTTTCATATCTGACATTCGCGTTTACACATCACTGCCAGTATTGGGTGTTTTTACAAAATGTAAATGTAAGAACCTTATCCAAGATGATGATGAGAATGGTTATTACTATTATCTTAAGTTATGATTACAAACCATTACGTGAAAACCAGTGAACCAGTTTTTTGAACCGGTTCATTGAAACGAACTGTCCGAAATAACCAGTTCACAGGGGAAAAAACTGACTTCCCATCACTAATGCTGATGAAATGGCGCTTAGAGCCAACTTATATAGTCCTCCTCCTTCCCTCCTTCCCTTTTGGCAGGTTGAAGCGCCATTGGTTTTTGCAGTTACACGAACATGAACAAATCAGGCTTCAGTATCCAGGGGCAGACTTAACCAATAAACGAGGTAAGCGGCCGCCTAGGGCCACGGGGAATCAGGGGGCCCCATCTGATATTGGCGAAACATATTTGGAAAACGCTCCAGTGTGTATTTGTGTTCTAGAGAGCGTCAAATATTTATATTTACAGTGTGTTTTGCAGCGTACTGAGAACCGATGAGCTGGAGATACTGAGCATGCGTGAAGCTAAAACTGATGCTGTGCTGATATTAATATACTATGAGTGTGAGTGAACCGAGGACTTGAATGAGGGGGTGAATTTGACGAAATTTTTTATTTATTTATTTATTTATTAAGTTTATTTAATAACAGATCAAACTTACAGGAAAGTGCAAATGCAACTAGTTATATTAAACAACATTTTAACATGATGAACATGCAACAACTGATCAGTCAAAACATGTAAATTAATATTACTATTTACTATTGTGTATGCACGTTATATTTTAAGCTTTATGAACTGGATTTCTGTACAGTTAAGGTTCTGTTACGGTTTCTGTAAAAAGTTGATGAAGACTTCACTTCCTTTATTTTCATATCTGACATTCGCGTTTACACATCAGTGCCAGTATTGGGTGTTTTTACAAAATGTAAATGTAAGAAACTTATCCAAGATGATGATGAGAATGGTTATTACTATTATCTTAAGTTATGATTACAAACCATTACGTGAAAACCAGTGAACCAGTTTTTTGAACCGGTTCATTGAAACGAACTGTCCGAAATAACCAGTTCACAGGGGAAAAAACGGACTTCCCATCACTAATGCTGATGAAATGGCGCTTAGAGCCAACTTATATAGTCCTCCTCCTTCCCTCCTTCCCTTTTGGCAGGTTGAAGCGCCATTGGTTTTTGCAGTTACACGAACATGAACAAATCAGGCTTCAGTATCCAGGGGCAGACTTAACCAATAAACGAGGTAAGCGGGACTAGGGCCACGGGGAATCAGGGGGCCCCATCTGATATTGGCGAAACATATTTGGAAAACGCTCCAGTGTGTATTTGTGTTCTAGAGAGCGTCAAATATTTATATTTACAGTGTGTTTTGCAGCGTTGAGAAACTTATCCAATGACTTATATAGTCCTCCTCCTTCCCTCCTTCCCTTTTGGCAGGTTGAAGCGCCATTGGTTTTTGCAGTTACACGAACATGAACAAATCAGGCTTCAGTATCCAGGGGCAGACTTAACCAATAAACGAGGTAAGCGGCCGCCTAGGGCCACGGGGAATCAGGGGGCCCCATCTGATATTGGCGAAACATATTTGGAAAACGCTCCAGTGTGTATTTGTGTTCTAGAGAGCGTCAAATATTTATATTTACAGTGTGTTTTGCAGCGTTGAGAAACTTATCCAATCACAGACATACTGTATCTGTTGATTTTCTGAATGCGAGGTGTTTAAGTTAGAATCCACTCACCGTTCAAAACGCAGAGTTTTTGTCCAGTCCAGCTCTGCAAGCTCACGAATCCTCTCATTAAAAGTGTAGATACGATGTAAATAAGAGATTCATTGTGCAGTGTAGAGAGCTTCATTGATTAACGGAACGTCATGAGATCGCAATGAACTGAAGTGAGTGTCAGCTTTACTATGCGGGCCGGTGTAGTGCCGAAATTTGCACCCTGCCAGATTATGCACCCCCTAGTATTGGTAGGTTTAGGGTTAGGTGTGGGGGAGGGGTTAGGAGTAGGGGTGGGGTTAGGATTAGGCAATCAGGTAGCGACTACAACGAGGGGGTGCATAATCTGGCAGGGGTGCAGAATTCGGCACAACACCGGCGCGAACTGCCGCACACTCAAATAAATGCACGAATGCGATGACTGGAGATTTTCTCATAAAAATGTATTACATTTTCGATTTGTTTCTCGGCAAACCCTACCGCATGACTTCAGACCACTTGGAATACGGAACGAGTTTCATAGGATAATCTTATGACATTTGAATCCTTTTTGTACAAAGACTGAAGAAGGTTACAATTCATTAAATGGACAAGTGCAAGCATTTTTATTTTATATTATATATACTGTGTGTGTGTGTATATATATAT